CCAGAGGCCCTAATCCTCGTTCACCGTCTGTTATGAAGCCTGACGTGTTGGCACCAGGTGTCAACATCCTAGCGGCGTGGCCAGAGGGCGTGGAGTTCAAACTTCTGTCGGGCACATCCATGGCCTGCGCGCACGTGTCCGGGTTGGCTGCTCTCTTGAAGGGAGTCCACCCCGACTGGTCCCCAGCCATGATCCGCTCCGCCATCATGACCACTGCTTACACCCGATCCAACAATCGCAAGCCGATAATCAATGATCATGATGGGAAAGAGTCGACGACCGCCGATATGGGTGCAGGTCACATTGCACCGGGCAAAGCTTCGGATCCAGGATTAGTCTACGATATCACCCCACAAGAATATTATGTGTACTTCATGTGCGCCTCGAATTATACCGGTTATGAAACCAACGGGCCATTCAATTGCAGTGAAATTAGGCCATGGGATCTGAATAATCCAGCCATTTCTATTGATTGGCACTCATTATCACATAATAATGATATCACGGTTAACAGGACCGTGACAAATGTTGGTGAAGTTAATTCTTGTTACACCGCGACGATGACCAATCCAAGAGGGGTGAATCTGACGGTAAATCCGATGAGAATGGATTTTACAAGCAAGGGTGAAAAGAAAAGTTACAGCGTGACTATAACCGCAGCAGAATTGCTGGGAGATAATGTGGAGGGAAAGATAGTTTGGTCGGACGGGAAGCGCCAGGTGGTGTCGCATGTTGTGATTGTCAACACTCGTAATTAATTGACACATGCATTTATCTATTTTTTTTTAAGTCTGTCAACATTTTATATTTTTTAGTTTGCTGAAATTATATATTGTCATGTAAAATTAATATAATTATTGAATTGAAATGTATTTGGATCTCAAATTTAACTTATGAACAAGTCATTATCATACATCATTTCTCAATAGTTTTAGGCATGAACGCATTCATTGGTTTTGAAGATTCTTACAGGACCAAGAAAGTAAGAGAAAGACATGTTTTTGGCTTTTATGAAGTCTAAAAGTGTAATATATTAAAGTAAAAATGTGGGAACAATTGAGCGAGTAAGATTTTTAAATTCAACTGTTGGAAGGAGAACAGAGTTGAAATTAAAGATACACAAGATATGTTGAAGCGGGACTGGATAGTGCCTGTTGTCCAATTCTATTGTGAAGCGAATTTTGTCGCGGATTGTTTGGCGACATTAGTTCATTCATGTTCGAATGGCTGCCAGAGACTTCTTGACCCACCGCTAAAAGTGAAGCAGTGGTTGATGCACGACGTCGTTGGCGTCGCTCATCCACGGAATACCACTATCTAGAGATTTTTAGGTTTCGACCTCCGTTCTTTGTACTAAAAAAAAAGATAACACAAAAAAATTACTCTCTGAAATTCAACTTTTTCAAGCTTGCACTAAAACTGATTTGATATTAAGGAAATCAAAAATACAATTTCATGAGCTCTTCAATGACCAAAACCGGTTCTTGTGCGTCCTATTCTTTTCTTTTTTTACGAAACGATACAGATATTATAAATAAATGCATAAATGTGAAAAGAAACAACCAATAGATGAATAATACAACCAACAACTGAGCAAATTGAGAGGACTGGTCTAAGACCGCCCAGAACCGAAACCTAGCCAGGCTAAAATACTCGGCGACACACTAAAACACAAACACACTACAGAAACTAAAAGCTCCCAAGAGGAGAATGAAAAAACACGACCCCAACAGGGTAATACTTTCGATCCCAACAGAGTAATACACACGACCCCAACAGGACAATATTCACTCACTACTCGGGCAACACAGAGGCCAACGGCCTAAACCAAAAACACAATACTGAAAGGCAAACTAAATAAACCCAACTATAGACTAAATACAAATAACAAAGCGAGGCCCTTCCTCAGCATAACATCCAAATTGAAAAACAGACAAAGGCCGACTCTAAGGAGAGAATTGAGACGCAGGAACCCCGCCCGCCACTGCCTAATGCCTAGCAAAGACGAGGACCTAAGTCTCGAATCGAACCAAATAGAACAGTCCGCTCTCTATCCGCAAGAAACTACAATCGACCCCCAACATGCTAACACCACTAGCCAAATCCGGCACCACTTCGAGATTGCCTATCACCACTAGCCAATTTCAGGAAACTCCCACTGACTCAGAATGAGAGTAAGAAGAAGGGATATGGTGCCTCAGCCTTACCTCTCCGATACAGCCCGAACCATCGAACACTGCCAACCAAACCCTCAAGGACGAACCCCATCACAAACACCCCTGCAACGCTGAGGGATTAGAGATCAATAAGAAGCCCGACAGTGACAGGAAAACAGAGACGACGGACCATGGAAAGAGAAAATCACCAAGCCGCATCCCAGCCATCGGACACCGGACCCCACCAGAACCCCAACACTTCAGGACGATGGCGATCCTCGACACACCAACATCGCCAGATCTGACGAAAACTCCCTATGGCGAGAGACCCCAGAGAAGAGCACCACAGTCTAACGAAGGATGCACAACGAGAGAGTCGTCCACCGGCGAACCCAGCCGGCTGCTAAAGGAGGCACAATCCGAAGGAAATTTGACGGCGAACGAAGGGCTTTTTAAGGGGATTTTTGGGGGAGAAAGAAGGACTTAGAAAAAATTTTATGAAATTTTTTTGTGCGTCCTATTCTACAAACTCGAATTTTGTTTACCTACGAAGCGCCAAAAAGTGTTCCTTGTATATATTAATATGTTTCGATGACTAAAACGAAATATCTTATTAAAATAACACCAAGTATGCCTACATAAATGATAAATTGTCAGAACTAGAATTTATTTTGGGGTAAAGATGTTAACTTCATTGAGATATATCCGGCAAATTGTGGGATTTGTCACGATATAGATGGTAAATTAAACCTCTTTTCAGGAATATCACCTGTCGGTCAAATCTCAAATGCTCGTCTGGCGAGCCTATAGTTTTATCATAGTCTTATCCCCTTTCAGTTTCTCGATCATATTGATTAGATGATGAATCAATTAATCATGAAGTAAAACAATTCAAATAGACATGAACATTCATACAATCAACATAAAATCAAAATGAACATTGAAAATATTTAACCTTATAATCATGAATCAACTCTTACTCGAATTGAACTCCATATTCATTAATAATTAGATAAAAATAGCAGTGAATCAACAGTAGCACACGAGAGATTAAAAGCCTACAATCACTTGAAATGATCCAACAATCCTACCTAAGGCTGTAAACGAGCCGAGCCGAACTGAGTCGAGCATTGGTAGGATTTTTTTTTTTCTTTTAGCTGCTCGTGCTCGAGCTCGATTTATGAGGCTCGGGTTGGGGTGGCACTCGGTTGGGACACAGGATGTGCACAAGGCTGGCGAGCAGGGCTATTGGGCCAACGTGCGTGGCAGCTAACCTGGGCCGGTGGTGGTTTCCAGATTCCGGCAACAACTTTCTGATGAAAACAAATTATAGTTTCCTGCAAAATAAAAATATAGAAAGAGACAAATACACAAAAAGCGAGCAAACATAACCTAATGTTAACGACTTTAGACTATGAAAACATCGAAAATAATAATAAAAACATACAAAACAATGCTTCCCTGGCCAAGTGTGGAATCTTCCAAATGAAGCAATATTGCAGGAATATTATACATCAAGAGGTTGATCTATAATAGGCTAGTCCATTTATCATAAGGTACCCACAGGGCTCGGGCATGACTGAGGGGATATAACAGTTACAGAGCTGCTAACGAAAAAGGTTGATGAAGAGTAGAGAGTGTTGTTGCTAGTCTGGAAAGACCCGACATCAGTAAGAAAGTTATGCATCATGAAGCTCATCTATCGCTTATCTCACACTTGATACTTGAAAAACTGCATGCCTCGTTAGTCGATAGGTTCTAAACATGGGGGTGCATTAATTTAATTAGTCGACAACAAAAAGCATTTTGTAAATGAGGACCAAAGAAATGTGACTCAAAACAACACTATAAAGCGAAAGACAAACCGTATGATGTTATATATATGACTGCTTTCACATTAGAAAAAAATCGCTATGCATCCATTGCTTAATGGTTGTTTAATTTGCTACTTTAAACTTGTTATCGCTGAATATGGAAATGAGAAATGTATATTCAGCAATATGAATCGCTCGCTCATTCGGAAATCACACATCAGTTTGTAATTTTAGCTTAGTTTTAGCCCAAGAAAGATAGTACGAAAAAAAACTAGCAACTTAGATATACAAATTTGACTGCTTCAACTAGTCATTATGGTGGTAACATAAGCATGATGCAAATGATAATATTTTCAACATGGAAACAGAGTCTCATAACATGATGTGGCTTGACAGTAATCATTTACATAACACGAAATTATAATATTCACTGCACCCCCACATTCGAAATCTCGAGATGAGTCGATAAAACCCTCGACTTTGAAGCATGCCAGTTTTCAAGTGTTGAGGAGAGATGAACATACCAACAACCTTCATCATACTTAATATTCTCACTGAGTCGGGTCTTTCGAGACATGGCCCCGGCGGGCGGGACCTCCGGCAGCCTCCCCACTCGTCCATGGTCATGTTGTCTCTGAGCTTGAATAACAACGAGAAACTCTAAATAGATATTTGGCTTGGTTAACACTCTCCAAATTTGTTTAACAATCAAGGCTTCATTGAAATCTTCAAACATCTTAAACCCTAATCCCCCTTCTAACTTAGGTTGAGCAATTCTAGACCAATTAACCCAATGAATTCTGTTCCCTCCCTCTCCATTTCTTCCCCACCAAAAATTAGCAATTTGCTGACAAATATCCCTACACACCTCTACTGGCAACCTAAATACTGACATAACATATACAGGGAGGGCATAAAGCACTGTTTCAATGAGAATTTCCCTCCCTGCCTCACTCAGGTATTTGTTTTTCCAAAAAATTGTTCACCTTAGCAATCACACACTCCTTAGCAAAAGAGAAGGTGTCTTTTATGGATCTACCCAACCCTAGTGGCAACCCTAAATACATAGAATATCTAGCAACAACCACCACCCCAAATAAAGAACACACTTGCTCTTTCAGCTGCTCAGGAGTGTTTCTGGAAAAGAACATACTGGACTTGTTGAGGTTAATTGTCTGTCCAGAAGCATCACAATACATCTTCAAGATATGCATCAGTAATTCAACATGATAAGTGTCTGTTTGACAGTAAATTATTTGTTTGTAGTACTTTTGGGCATGTGGTAACCGAGCTACCCGTCTCGGGTCATTCTCAAAAGAAGGTTGTTCGGAGCTTCGTTCACTACCTAGTCGTCAAAGTCACATAACCGAAAACAAAGTCCTACACTTTCTACTTGCTTGATTGAGATTGATTAAACACTACTCGCAATTGGAAATTGAAAGCAATTGAAAAAGCGAAAACAAAGTTGAGAACTTTAGGTCAACCGGAGTCTCTATCACTCGAATAACAAAAAGAACTGATCAACATAGCCAAGTGATCCTAGGTGATTAAATCGAGCTTTCTACTAATGATTACTCTTTAACAAAGTCGCAACCTTTAAACAAGATAAGCACAAACTAATCCCTAACACACATTGACAAGCAACAAGAATCGAACATTCCTCCATTCAACAAGCAAAACCAAATTCACTTTGAAACACATCATAAGCAAAAACGGGCAAAATCAAAGTAATGAGGATTAAAGCTAATTACCCACTCTCTTAATGCATGCGTGAAGAACACTGGGTGG